CATGTCCTTTTCTTACAGTAACCACTGTTTTCTGATGGCCAATATGGCTTAACATTAGTACGTAAGTATAAACCACACCTAATGTTGTGGTTAACGCATTCAAGGAAGCATACTTGAATAAATGTAAAGAATCACATCTCTTTTTTACTTTCTTTCTTAGATGATTACAGAAAGAAATGATTTTTTTTGGTATTACACTGGCTCCACAAGTCGTGGCATATTTGGAAAACGTGGAACTTTAGCAGTTTAATGTCAAAAATATTAGCTGCCAGAGAGAAATTTCTCAAACTTAAATATAATACCTTATTTTTTTTTTAGTGTGAACTTGTCTAAACATTAATGATGTCCAAAAAAAGACACCTTAAGGGCATCTACAATGTATTGAGCTCTATAGAGTCTAATGGATTATCCTATCATTTTTTACATTCTATCAAACTTTATCAATTGTTTTCTTACAATGCATTGAACTCTACAGAATTCAATAGAATTTAAAAAAAAAAAGCTAATTTATAGTATATATTTGAGAATTAATAACTTCCTTTTTTGGATTGAAGATTTCAATGACCATTGAACTTCAAATCCATTGAATGTCAATGTGGCATCTCATTATGATAGACTTTAATATATTGAATGAAAAATAGACTTTCCACCTCATTAATCTCTCCCATGAACTCACCATTATATATGCTATAAGTCATAGGTTATATAGGCTTACAAACGCAACTTTTATTTGTTAGGGACAAATTTCATAAAAACTCACATTTTTTTAGTATAAATCTTATTCAAATAAATTTCTCTTTAACTTCTTAACTTCTTTAAAATCGTTGATGGAGTTGTTGCTTGAAATAAACGTAGAAGATGTAGCCATCAAGTAAGAGGCTCTAGATATAGATCTTGAGCTTTTTGTTAGCCAAAAAATCTAATAGATGGGTTTTTTTCCATAAAATGTGTAATATGTTGTTTTTGTCTCTGTAAGATGTCAAGACTTGTTGGATTCAGGTGTTTAAGATCTTATATTGGTATAAAGTTGCAAATAGAAGCAAAGTTCTTTTTGGGTTGCTTTCAGAACTAGTAAGTGTGTCGAATGACTTTTGAAAGAGAGATTTATTTATTAATTTATTATATGATTAATAAATAACAATAAATGATTTGTTAATATATTATGATATTAATATATTAATTATAAATAATATTATTTAATTAATAATTAATCAGAAATTAATTTTTTCCCACCCTAAATATTCTGATTTTTCATTAATTTAAATATCATCGTACAACAAGTGAGATGGAAATTAATTAGAATTAATTTTGGGGTTAATTAGATTAATTAAAGCTGTAAGGACTTAAGTTGTAATTGTTCAAAAGTTTAACAACCTTCTAGTGGTGGCGGTTTTTAAGGAGCCCGTTAATGTTTTTAGATGCCTCATGATGATAAGGATAACTGGATTAAATCTATTATTATTTTATTCAAGATTAGGATTTTCAGGGTTTTCCTATATGCTATAAATAGGACCCCTAGGGTGCCTCACTTTTGTCCATACCTTCTCCAAATAGAATAGCTGAAATTCTCATTCCTTTCCTTTCTCATGAAGACTTTTTGTTACTTGGATTTGGGTATAAACCATTAGAGACATTAGATTTATGGTGCTTGCTTTCCAAGGCTTTTGAAGAAGGAATTGAATTGGTTATTTTCTATAATAATAAAAAAAAGGTTTGTAAACCTTAACTTTCTTGTAATTTCGAAATTACCTAGGGTTTTATAGGGTTCTTGATGCATAGAGTTTATTGTTATCAATAGAGAAAACATAGATCCAAATAGGTTGCAAGTGAATTTAAGAGTTAAGTATTTTTCCACCTCATCCATAGATTTATAACCTATAAAATCCATTAGTTGTATCAGAGCCACTGTTTTCTATTGATTGTGCATAAAATGAATAGATCAATGAATTAGGGTTTAGAGAAAATAAACCCTAGCTAATGAGATTTTCGATTTTGCTAGCGTTCTTGAAACCCTAACTTCCTTAACCCTATTTTCAAAAATAAAGGTTCCTTTAGGGGTTATCTTGTTTCCTTAACTATTATTTTAAATGCCTTAGACTTTGAATAATTAAAACCTGATAAACCTAACCCCAATATTCAAAATTATAAGAATTTTGGATTAAGATTAAATTTAAATTATTTTATTAATTATTTAATTCAAATAATTGTTTAATCCCTAAATGATATATATTAATTTATTTAAAAGTTTAATTAAAAGATAAATATTATATCATAATTGATTTATTTAATTCGATTAATTTTTTAATTAAAGGATAAAAATAGATCATAACTGGTTTAATATTAACTAATTAAAAGTTTAACTCAAATAATTAATATTTAAACCTTGTATTTTGAAAAGTTTTAAAATACACCTTATATACATTATTAAAAGTTAGTTACTATATGTATAAGGCAAAGTCAGTCGAATCGCTAGTACGCCTCATTCTCGAAGCCATACTATAATGAGGGTATAAGAAAACGACCTATAAAATGACCGTTAAATGAGTGTCCCTTTCACCCAACACTCTCCTGTGTGGTGGAGGGTCATTAGCCGAATGGGTTCGCTTGGTTATAACCTCATTAAAAGTATAATGATATGAAGTACTAGAATCTTCCTTAAAATCCCACTCTAGTTACATTAGAAAAAATGTGAAATTGTATGCTCATCCTAGAAATGCATATCATTCTTTCTATGTCGTTAGTGGAACATACGTGGCTAACCGACACACTAATTTAGGACTACAAAGTTGAATGATGGTACAAATCGTAAATTATCATTGTTGATGGAGTTTGTGTGGTTACCCGCATAAGACATCGATGTAGTCAAGTGAGTTTACATCGTGATTCATATCTCCTTTGTGATCCTCGACACCCCAATCACAAAACTAACATCATAATCTGAGATTAAACATGAGATTGATAAGATTCATTGAATCTTCAAAGATATAGGAGTTTCATAAGATTGAAATTAGTAAAATCCTTACCTACTTAAAATAGATTCGAATTTGATTACAACATCCCTTTTCAAAGTTTGAATAAAAAATGTGGATCCTAGCCTTAATTTTAATTTTGGGTTAATAATTAAGGATCAAAATCAACTAACTTGAATTATCTATTTTCAAACTTTTAGATGTCTTGTGAAGATGGAAATGGTCTTCCTCGCTTGTCTGGAAATGTTTTTCCTCAATCTTCTGAAGATGGTTTTCCTTGATTCTGATCAAGGTGCAAATGGCTTCCCTTCTTCGAGTGATGATGGAACTAGACATCATGCTTCTTCAACTCTTCAACCTTATCATCTTCCTATGACTCTCCCAATGTCACGTTCCCCTCAAGTTGAAAGATATGAGACTACTCAAACCCTATCAGCGTGTAAACATCAAGAGGGAAACTTTATGTGTACGCATGTTCTGAAAATGTAATCGTACATTGACAAGTTGGATAGAATGTATGTCATTTTCCTAATGGAGAAAACCATTGGTTTGGTTATTCTCTCGCTTCCAAAATCATATGATTAGTTCATTATGAACTTTTATATGAGGAATATCGACGTGACCCTAATTGATCTGACCCAAATGTTGTTGGTTGCTAAAGTAGAGATACTTATAGGGTCTAATTCCAAAGTTTCCATAGACATTGACAATGGTGACAATGGTGGTCCAGAAAAGATTTATCTTCTCAATGGAAAGCGGTCGTCCAAGATGCAGGATACTTGATGCGTTAGCTACAGCACTGCACGGGTCGATACGCACAAAACCGTTTGATCGTATGGTATAGAGAAAGACTAGTTTTAGGATCGTTCCATGTGTTGACCCCAAAGAGTCCATTTGTTTCTACTACCAATTGAAGGAACATTAGTTGCAAAGCTTCCCCAAGTACCTAAAGGATCTCAGAGATGGTAAAGTCAATTTGCATCACTCTACTTCAGGTATATACATTATCTAGCGCCATTATCTTAACAAGTTTTCATTCATAGATTCTAAATGGGGATGAGCTATAGAACCGGAAAACCGGACTGGAACTGAAACTGGTATAACCAGAAAATTCTTAAACGGTCCGGTTCCCGGTTCTAAAAATTGGCCTTGTCCGGGTTCCGGGTATGGGTCCAACGGGTACGAGTCCAACGAGTTTGAGAACCGGATTCGAAAAAAAGAACCAAACCCGAATTAAATACCAGACCCGGTTTTTTAGACCTTGAACCGGAATTTGAACGGGTACGAAAAAAGACGTATCCGCCAGTCGATTTCGATCTTTCATCCATGTTGGGTTTGACATAGCGAACGAAGGGTTATTGCCATCGACATCAACGGTTAGGGCTAATCGTTATCGTTTTTTTGTGTGATTAATCGGTATCGTTTTTCTTGTTTGATCGACGACAAGAGCAAGAATTCAAGAATCAAGACGGACGCCAACTAAAACATTAACATTCTATTCTTCTCTCTGTGATCGACAATTCGACATTGTGTATCACATTTTGTGATTGATAATTCCAATTAAACTTCAAATCAATCTCCTACATTAAATTAAAGAGCAATGGTGAACAATTGGGTAAATGACAATGAAGATACACAAGTAAGTTGTCAAATTTGTTGATTTCATTTATTATGATTTTGCATTTTTTTCTTGTTCTTGTGTTTCAAGATTAGTGTTTATTATTGTAAATAGTATTAGTTTGTTACCAAATACAGTTCCTTGTATCTAATGTACTGCCCCTGATAGGTAAATATTATGTTAAATATTTATTAGTTTGTTACTACATTGCTATTTTAAGAGAAGTACTGTCACACCCCCAAACCAGAATGGCGGAAACATTCGGGGGTGGATGACTTCACGTAGTATCACAACGATTGAATATTGTAAAGAAAGTAACACAACCATCATATATATATAAAATGAAAACGTGTATTGTTGCGTTATACATGTTATCAAAAGAATATTACAATATGATGCATAAATGTTTAATG